AGCTGTGAAACAACACCGGTGATGATGGTGAGTGTGACAGACTTCTGAGACAGACTGAATTTTAGCTCGACACAGCTCGAGTCATGAGCTTATCTGCTTCAGGTGGGTGTCTCAACAGAAGCAATGTGACGTTAAAACACCTGTTAAAACATATAGTATGGCTACACGATACAGATTGGCTCAGGTGTCCGTTTAAATCCTGTTTATCATATTCATAACACCTCAGACAGGATGGGGCTGCTAGTAACCGTAGCAACAAATTTGATGCTTCTATCCTGTACTAGACTGCTAGTAACCATAGCAACAAATTTGATGCTTTGCACACTATAGACTAAACTTGCTGAAGCTAACCGGTAGCTAAATCAAAAGTACTCAAAGTATCCAAAACATGTCTGAAACCCCAAAATATTTAATGAACTATAATTAGGCTTGAGTTCCGAAAGCTGGTTCCGTTTTGGATCTGGTTCCTGGTTGGCAAAATACGCAGATTCGTTAAGCTCCAACTTTAACTAATCTGTTATAAAACCTTTTATCTCTCCTTGTTTTTTCTTTATTAGTGAAAACCAATGCTGAAAACACGCAGGTAATGTTGGCAGGCTTTTCATTTATAGCCATTTCTTTCACCTGTTAAAATGACCATCATCAGCGGCAGCAGATTATACTGGTGAAAGTTAATTAACGTTAATTCTGTAACAGCACAGAAATAATGGTTAATGTACTCTCTCCAAGCTCAGTAACATCGCTCTACAACTAAGAGTCACCTTTATTTTTGTAGTGTCGATTTTTCTCTTGAAAAATGTTTAGCTGATCATTGTAGGTCAAATCAATCAATATTTTTAGCTCAGTAACCTCTGAGTTATGAATCTGGTGTGTAAGAAAGTATGATACAGCTGTGATTTCAGTGTGTCAAAACACTCAATGTCAATCCACATTTCATATCTTCTGCTGCTCATCTTATTTTCATGTTGTAGCTATAGGTTGTCAACATTAATTAGGCAACTTTCATCGATTTTAAAGTTGATTAATTTAGTCACTTCCTCCAAAAGCGGCAGTGTTTCTGGTTTCTGGCCCAACAACAGGTGATCACAGGTCTAAACTAAATATTTGAGGTACACTTATTTATAACTTTAGTTACTTTCAAATGATGAAACCTAATCTTAATGAAATTTGATGAGGAATGTGAACGGATTCAGATTAGATAAAATACAATGTGATTAAAACCTCAACTCTAACTAAAAGACAAAGAGAAGCAGCTTTGCTTGAAAAATGACTTCAACAATTAACCGATTATCCGAATAGATGCATTTCAAGATTTCTTTTGTGAAAAATGCTTATCACATTTTCCCAGGATTCACAGTGATGTTTTGAAAAGACTGTTTTGTCTTAAACATATAATCTGCTTACAATATTCAACAGAGAAAACATGGCAGATTAGGATTTATCTCACAATAGTTTTTGATCAGATGACTGTGTAATGTGCGAATCATCATCAATTTCAGATTGAGACAGATGTGCTCCAAGCAGGTTCAAACAACAACAACCACTGAGTAAAAAAACAAACAAAAAACTTTGACTCAGGACTTGTCAAGTCTGTCGGAGCTGTGCGGGCGAGTACTGTCACTCGTGTTCCTCGGCACTTGGAGAGGGAATCAATTTCAGCTACTCGAGAATGGAAGACAGAGACAGATGAATCACAAAACAACACAAGGGCTTCAGAAAGCTCAGGTTGTTGTTTCACTGCCAGAACCAATGTCAAACAAGTGAGTGTGCATGTACACATGTTCAGCTACGTCGGTGTAGCCCATCAAGCGATAGCACAACTACACTGTGAAACAGGAGAACAGAGGAAGAAGAGAGAAAGCAGGGAAAGTCGGGGAGGAAGTGTGTGGGGGAGCAGAGATGCACGTTCCACTGGCTGTAACCAAGGGGAGATGCTTCATGTTGCCGTAGTGATTCAAGCGTGTCTCCACGTTGCTGTGGTGATTCACACATGCCTCCTCTTGCCTCCAGCAATGACGCTGCGAGACAGGAAAGTGAGAGTTTCCAAGACCATAATAAGGTCCAGTGCGGGAGACAGAATCATTGCAATGATCCCATACGTGTCACCGTGCAGCTGGACGATGACCAACACATAGACTCACTCACTGTGGGCATCACCCACAACAAGTAGACAGACAGAGACACTCACATGTTCACTATCAAGTCAAAATACAGCTGCAGCTACTCTCCTGTTCCTAATAAGCGGCTGGTTAAAGCACATAAAGAATCTCACGGTGAGTGTTAAATAAAGAGGGAGGACGAGTTGAGCCAAAGGATGTTCCCAGAGCTCTTCCTCTTCTCTGTAAGCTGTGATTATGTTGGACTGGATGGGCAAGATCTCATTCCTTATTACAACATAAACTTCCTGTATTATCTTCAGCTAAGTGAGAGGGAAATGAAAATAAGAAAGGAAAAAGGATTACAAAATATATGATTTAAGTGGAGGTATCTTCGCTGTGGGAATAGTTTCAAGAGAGTAAAAAGACAGCGCTCGTTATTTTGCTTATGGCATCTCACAGACACATGCGGAAATGTACTCAGTACGGCTGCTCTTGAAAGATGCATGATCATCAAAACAAGTAGAAATAAAGAAAAAGGTGAACTTGTGTTGCTAACTATAAATGCCCAAACACATTTTGAAATAGTTGGGAGAAGACCCGACATAGTGTTTGCATGTTTGCATCACGCTCAGTATGTATCGTAAGGCTAATGTAACCTTGTTGTGTAAGTAAAGTAGTTAAATAGCCTTTATAAAAATAAATAAATAGGCCTTTAAATAGTCAAAAGCCCTGCTGGCCACCTGTTAGCTAACCGCTGCTTTAAGACCTGAGTTGGTGAGAGCTGTCGGTGTGCACATAAGAGCTTCCTGGCTGCTATCTCCCCCTGTGTTTCTCTGTAAGAGGCTTGTTTGAGATTTAGAGGTGTGACAAATGTAAAAAAAAACAAAAAACAACAGCATTAAGTAATAGACAGGCACTGTGACATTAGGAATAAGCGAAGGAAAATGATCTGTTTCAAGCTTTTTCAACAGCAAGTCTGGTAATCAAAATGTCACAAGTGGCAGAAAAGGCCTATGGCAAATTGCTTGGTTTATCAGTAAATAAGCAGCTCTACTTGTGTTAAACGACTGTATAACGTGTCTAAACATTACTTTGTGAGACACATAAATGTTGCACTGTGGTGTACACAAAATGTTTGGAAATTACAATGTTGTCTCAGCAACACAAGCAAAGCAGTACTTAACTAGAAGGGCACTCAGAGAGCACAGACCTCTGCCAAGGCCAATGTCAAACAACATACACCAGACTTCAGAGAAAAACAAAAACAGATTCATAGTAAATAATCTGGATCTGCCCCAAAATTTAATGGGATCTACCCCGGCTCATGCCCCATCCCTCCACCAAGTTTGGTGCAAATCGGGTTAGGACTTTTAGCATAATCCTGCTGACAAATAAACAAACACGGGTGAAAAATAACATCCTTAGCGGAGGTAAAAAAGACTAAGATTTTGAATGTTACATCATTAATCTGCAGATATTTTCTCTAACATAACGTTTAACACAATACAGTGATAAAATGTGACTAAGTACATTTACTCAAGTAGCAAATGTGCTTTTGAGGAACTGGTACTTGCACTTCAGTGCTTCCCTGTGTTGCTGCTTGATTGTTCTACTCCGCTACATTTCAAAGGGAAGTGTTTTTTTTTGAAGAACTTCACTCGTCTGACTGACAGCTACAGTTACTTTCCTGCTCGGTATTTTATATACAAATCAAATGATCAGCTACTGTAACTTGATATGTTGTTACAAATTAAACCATCCACAACACTAGGCTGTATAATGTAGTTAAAATTAGCCCCAGCTTGACCAACTACTACAGTAAAGTACTAATCACACATTACTGTATCATTAGCAATATGCAATAAACCATTCAGCAGGGTTTTTTGTCTACAGAACATTACTTTTACTTTGGATAGTTTGTATACTTAAGTAGGATTTTGAATGCAAGTATTTTACTTTTAATGGAGTTTTTTTTTGTTTACCTTGTTTATTAGTTTCACTTGAGTAAAAGCTCTGAATGTTTCCTCCATCACTGATATAAAACCACTTTCACCCTCCTGTTGGTGCCCTCCTGCTAAGACTATTTTGAATCCTAAAGATACCAGACTAACTGCAAAATTCAGCTAGAAAACTTTCCACCAAGTTGGAAAAGGGCTTTTAGATATCTGTAGTTTAGATATCATCGTAGATTAAATAAATAAATAAGTGGATAAAAGGAAATGTTGGGTTTGTCTGCTTTCTTTGAAGAGGAATCGGAAAAAAAAGTGAAAGCTTCTGCACTGAACTACATGTTAACTTATGCAAAGGAAGCACACAGTCTGCTTTGAAGCATGACCCCTGACTCACCCCTGCACCTCACTTTGCACCTTTCTAGTCAAATAAACTCATCCTGAAGTGAAGACCTGCTGCTCCGGGGGTGATGAGATGATGGAGGATAAAACATTAAGTCATGCATGTTCTGCAATTAAAGTGTCACCTGCATTTTGGGGGCTCCATCACTGACTGCTCTATCAAACCTAGTTTTCCAGCCTGGCTGCACTTCTTCAAAGTGCACACATGGGTGTTTTTAAGCACCACACATGGCTCACTCACCTCCATGGCTGTGTGCTAAATTTAACCTCCACACAACACTGGAAGGCTGACACCTCACCTCCACAGGTCACGGGGCTATTTGGATGCCAACAGAGGTTTCAGACACATCTGCAGACGGGCTGGCAACGTCTCCTGGAGAGGGGGCTCCTGTGATGCATTATCATGTGTTTCTATAGGGCCTCTATACATTACATAAATAAGGGGACACGGCAATGACGTGATACGTGACTCATATGGGGAGTCTGTGACATTTTAGCACCCTTGTCCTCTTTTCTCACCCAACAACCGACACGGCAGCAGTGAACTTACTCTCTGTGATCTTCTGCAAGCCCAGAACATCCTCCGGAGTGATCATCGCGCTGGCGAGCAGGTCCTCTTCCGTGGTCACCGGGACCCCGACGTCGGTCGAGTTGCATCCTTTCTTCACTTTCATCGCCGCCGTTTGCTTCGGGCTGCCGTTACTGCTGCTGTCTGCGCTGCTGTCTGTGCCTGCGGCGTCTCTGCCTGGATTATCACCGGCAGGCTTCTTAGCGCTTGATGGGTCCTGGCTGTTGCCCCTGCTGGTACAAGAATAGCTCATTCTCCGCTCCTCCTCCCCCTCTCCTCACCCAGGGCTTCCAAGATACAAAACAGTTGCCTCCCTCTCCTCCCTCCCTCCCTCACTGAAGGATGCACAGTTGCTGTCTGTTATCCGGTGCTTAATTCAAATCCTCTTCGTCTTTATGAGCCCGCAGTCTGTCTCCGCAGACGGGCTGCATGCAAACGTCCCCGGCTCTCCTTGGCTGAGCGCAATGTGAGGAGAGCGGGCTTTTCCTCTGCTGCTTTTTTCTTCGCAGCTGCTCTCTGAGACGCTGTTAGGGTTGTGTCAAGTGAAGCTAGAAGTCTGTGGGAAATAATCTGCTCGGTTTGAAATTAAAAGAGGCGGCAGATGGCCGTTGCTGCCAAGGAGGCGGAGGGGAGGGAGGGGGGTGAGCTCTCAGCAGCGCGCTCTGTGCTCCGCGGCTGACAGAGAGCGGCTGGTGCTTCTGCGCACAGTCTGCGCTACAACTGACGAATGCGCGCACCAATCAAGATGACAAACAGTCCATTCATTCAAAAACACCCACTAATATATGCAGCATGTGTTCTCTTTCTATTGAAGCCGCTGAACAAGGCGAAAACCTCAGTGAAATATCATTATTAGGTCAAAACCATATGAGGACAATAGTTTAGACAATGGTTAGTAGGAAATGGTAAAATCTAATTTAAATTGACTTTAAAATAGGCTACAACACATAGTTAAGAATCAACCTGTGGTTCCCAACCATTTGAGTCTCCTTACAAAAAGCAGTGTCTGGTCGGGGCTTCTTTACAGATGTCTATGACCATGAACAGATTACTGAAAGGGCCTACTGGGCACAGGTCCAGGGGCCCAAGGGGTCAAGTGGGCCCAGGGCCAGAGCCTCTGTTTGAAGTGACTGTTTTAACTGGCTTCCCAGCAATAAATGTAAACAACTGCAAAGAGACTCATGAGTACAACAAAGAAACAACCATAAAAAGGATGCAAAATGACCACAAAGAGACACAACACAACTTCCACTTCTATTTCTTGCACTGACAGCATTAAAATGCCTGCTTACATCCTAATGTTGTTATTACAATGATCCAGTAACACTGAGAAGAGTCACTCTGCATAATTTGATACTTAAAGTACATTTTACTACTACGGTACTTTTGCTTAGGTATGTTTTTCAATGCAGGAGTTTTACTTGTAATAGAGTATTTTTATAGTGTGATATTGCCACACGTAAGATCTGGATACTTCCTTATGTTGTGATTAGCTTACTTAAATTCCCCCCAAAAAACATATATGTTGAAAGACACATCAGCAGCCCCATACACACAAAATACACAAATACACAAACGTACACAAATATATATTAGTTTGACAAAATCTGTTTTAACTACTTGCATTTTATCCAGTCTACATGCACCTGTCTCATGCTGTTAACATATTAAGAAACGTGCTATATAAATGAAGTTTATCATTGTAACTGCAAACAGACATCATCAGATCATTGTAACCCAGCTGGAGAAGCTGAGGAGAGAGCAGCATGGAAACGGCTCTGCAAGGTTTTAATCCTATTTCTGTCTTTCTCTCTCTACTGATGCTTGTAAAGTCTGTGCATGAGTCACTGGAGATCTCATTCACACATGACTCTTCATCAGGGCTCTGCAGTGCCACTGTGTGATGATAACAGTTGCCAAACCAACTGTAACTGCATTTAACATCAGCCACAGCAACAAAGCACCAACTGAGACAAAAGCCTGCCTTAATATTCAGAGTAAATGGAGATTTCAGGTCCATGGACAAAGTCAAGGAGTCACTCCTGAAAGGCATTTTCAGCCACATCAATGTTTCACACATGGCTCTGCACTGACTGAAAACCTGAGATCAGAGTTGTTACGAGTGTGATGATTCCCTGAATTGATAACCACAACAGACCTGGAAACACATTGTTTATGTGGAAATGTTGCACCCTAGAGGTAGTCAGCATCTACTGCAAACCACTTTCTAATACGGACTTTGGTTTGTCCTTTTCTGGGTAGTTGAGGAAGAAGTAAGGATGATTTATGTTAGGATGCCGTGGATTCCCTTATCTGACGAAGCCAAGATTGGTTTCTGTTTGGCCCCAAGGAGGATATGTTGTCCCTCGGGAAGTTTCTCCCATCTCCACACACGATCTCTGGAGCTGAGCCAGAGTGAACATCAGGTTCTTGGTCACCTCTCTTACCAATTGCTCAGTTTGGCTGGCAGCTAGCCTCTCGGTAGAGTCTTTGCTCCGAGGCATTTCCATTTAAGAACCATGGAGGCCACCGTTCTCTTGGGAACCTTCAATCCGGCAGAATTTTTTTTTTGTATCCTTCCTCAGATCTGAGCCTCGACACAATCCTGTCTCTGCAGGCAGCTCCTTCCTCCTCATTGCTTCATTTTTGCTCTGATCTGCATTGTCAGATGTTCGTGTCCAATCAGCTTTATTGACCACAGGTGGACTCCAATCAAGGTGCAGAAACATCTCAAAGATGATCAAGAGAAAAGGAAGCACCTGATTTAAATTTCAAGTGTTATTGGAATACTTATGTCAATGTGATATTTCAATTTTTCCTTCTTAATTAATTTGCAGAAATGTATAAAATTCTGTTCTCTGGTGTATTGAGTGTAGATTGTTGAGGGGAAAAATATTTTTCATTTTAGCGTAAGGCTGCAACATAACAAAATGTGAAAAAAATTGAAGGGGTCCGAACACTTTCTGAATGGACTGTACATAACTGAACGTACACCCTCCTCTCTCCTCTAGCTGCACTGAACAATAAACATTTAGGAATGGCTTACTGAGGTCAGCACATTGCCCAGACTCTCTGTCTGTGTGTGTGTGTGCATGTCTGTGTGTCCACGTAATTCCCTGATTGTGTCTACAACAGGGAGAGACAGAGATCCATGTGGACATATCACAGATCGTATCACAATAAAAATATTTGTGAACAAATTCCTAATCAAAGTGGATTTGTTCAGGTCAGAATGTGAGACAGGACAGGCATACATCTGTCTGTGTGTCTGTGTATGTGTGTCTGTGTATGTGTGTGTGTGTGTGTGTGTGTGTGTGTGTGTGTGTGTGTGTGTGTGTGCGCGCATGTGTGTGTTTCTGCTGATGATAGCAGCAGCAGCTCAGACGTGACAAAGGGACGAGCAAACTCAGCAGGCCGGTGTGAAGAGCCCACAGTGACCATATAGCCGACTCTCAGTGTGCACATACAGATATCGCACACATCCACATAACAAAACCTCAGCTCCTTCTATACACGTTTGACAGAGACTAAAACCTGCAGTTGACCATGTCACCATGCAGGACAGACAGTGTCTCTCACAGCCACACAAACAGCCTGCATATGTATTACTGATCACAAAGAAATAAGTTCAACTTACAAATCTTAACATCTGCTTGGAAAAAGCTGTTTTTGACTTTCCTTTTCTGAAGAGCAGAGCTTTTGAAAACTTAAAAAGTGAATATCTAAGTTTGGAAGCAATTTTATTTTTTCCTGTTGAACTTCAGAGTCAGAAAAACATGTAATGACTCAGCATGCAGCGCCATCAGAAAATGTTCAGACCCCAAATTTATTAAAAAGGGAAAAACTGAGATATCACATTAACATAGATGTTCAGATACTTTTCTATGACACTTGACAATTTAACTCAGATGAATCCCATTTCTCTTGACCATCTTTGAGATCTTTGGAAGTTTCTCCCGTCTCCTCACACGACCTCTGGAGGTCAGCGAGAGTGACCATCAGGTGGGCAGCCAGCTCCTGGACTTATTCAATTTAAGATTTATGGAGGCCACTGTGCTCTTGGGAACCTTCACAGCAGCAGAATTAATTTTTGCAGCCTTCGACAGATCTGTGCCTTGACACAATCCTGTCTCTGAGCTCTGCAGGCAGTTGATTTTTTTTATTTTATTTTAACATCAAGCTCCAACATAACAAAATGTGAAAAAATTGAATTTGAAATGTGAAAATTGAACACTTTCTGAATGCACTGTACCCACCAGCTACTTTTGTTCACTCTATGCTTGCTTACTTTAACGGTTCAAAGAACAGTACTGTAAAATACTATAACACACCTTTTAATTCAGATGTTTGAAATAAATTAAATAAGTATTAAAAATGCTTTAAAATGGCTTCAACAAAATTTGTGTTTAAAAGTGGAAGGAATAAGACAACATGATTCAGATCAATTTAAAGCATAAAAAGTGATGAACCGCTTGACTTTGGCTGCATTTTCTATCATACAATTACCACAACACATTGCCTGTGTTACAGCGATCCAGTCACACTGCTACCTGAAAGTAGAGATGCCAATTATAGCTCTGCGGTCTGTGCCAAAGCGTTGCCAGTCCTGCCAATGAGGCCTTTCAGCCGGTGCCACTGCCCCCTGTTTATACCTTCATTGTTGATTTATACACTTGTACAGGTATTCCAAAAATAGCAACAGCTGATTTCATTCACAATTTGCATTTAAACCACATTGTAAAAAAAAAAAAAAAAAAAAAGGCACACAAACGCATCACTGTGACCTCTGCTGGTGTTCACAGATACAGTGAATCAGTTTGGACAGGCTGGGTTTAGGTAAAATATTGTATCTCTGTTCACCCACCAGACTGCTGCCAATTCTGAAAAGTTCTGATTCTGTTGCCAAGAAACTTATTCCTTTGCACCATCCATGGATTGCCTCCTTTTTTGAGATCAATAAGGCATCCTAATTAGATTTCTAGCACACCTACATCTTCCTATTTCAAATCTGTTGTAAATGTCAATGATCCAGTTTGTCCAGTCATCATTACACATGGCTTTCAGGTTTCAGGGAATTACATCGCTGTTGAAATGCACTTTCAAATCAGTCAACAGAGTGACTGATTTGAAAGGACATACAACTGACCCGAGTCTTGGCGAACAAACGATCATGTCTGATACATATGTTTTAATGAGCAGGGACACCGGACAGTCACACATTACAAACAGATAAAAGCAAACAAAACAAAACCTCCACAATAAGAAAGGGAGGAAATCAATATATAATAAGTTCAAATATATTTATTATATACTGATGATTTTTATAATCCCTGATGGCAGGGGGTGTTTAAGCCTGTCCAGCACCCACACTACCCACGTCCAGTTAATAACTACTTTAAGTGTCATTTACTCATTTGATAAATCACAACATGCTGATTACTAAAAGAGTCTTTTGACAATCTTACATCAGACAAAACAGCAACATGAAGTGTTTTACCACTGAATCCCTATTTCACATATGTTTATCTAATAATGGATCTATATCCTGATTGGGAAAGTGACCCCAGTTTTTCCTCTCAACATACAGATTTACCACAGAGGCATAGGTAACATAGTATA